CTGGCCCAACTGTAGAACATTCAAAAGAACGGGCTATAAAAACAGATCTGTGTTATTCTTCTCAGGCTGTGAACCAAACATGCACGGCTTGTTCCTTTAATTGCGCAGGGCTCCTCTGTCTGTCCTGATGTAGGTGAGCCTGGCTTCTGTGATCCTGCCCCTGACACCAGACAAAAGCAGTCATCTCTGTCAAGTACACAGAAGACAGTGTTGGCTTCCCACCCAGACTCACTTCGTGGGCTGACGCATAGCCCCAGTGGCCATGTGAGCTGGTGGCTAACAGCTCTTGGGTGTCCCCTTCTCCAAGGAATGAGCACTAGCGAGTAACTTTCCCAATGCCCGGGAGTGAAAAAGTCTTCAGCTTTGTCTAATTGAAACCTGTGGACAGGACAGCACTGAGGTATGCTTCAAACCCCAGAGCCGTCTGGGAAGGGCTGAGGCTAGCACATTTTTCTCTTTCCCACTTGCCTTCACTGCTTGTCAAGTTCCTCCCAGGAGCCCTCCTTCATAAATCGTTTTAATACAGAGCTGCTTCCAGGGTTCAGGATCCAAGACTGTTCGGAACGAAAACTGCCACTCATTTTTTTGTTGTTGTTGTTCATTCTGGTTTGTTTGTTTGTTTGTTTTGGGGGGCGGGTTGTTTGTTGCTTGTCTAGAACTCATGATGAGACCAGGCTGACCTGCAGCTCACAATCCTCCTCTCTTCACCTCCCTAGTAATTAAAGGCATGGACCACCACGGCCAGCTACTGGCATTTTTTTTTAAAGTGTGATGGAGGCTTTCCTCTGCATCACTGGGTTTATTCCAGTGAGCCATCATCTGGACCATACCCTCACTCTCTAGCCCGGTCACACACACAAACCATGGAGAGACCGAGACAGGGTCACGGAAAGAGAACCCTGTAGTTACTTTTTTCTTGGTGAAGTCATACTCCGCCCCGCACCCCCCCCCCCAAAAAAAAAAAAAAAAAGAATTCCTAATCTTTTCTTTCATCTGCTTGGATATTAATGTAAGACATTTTCAGGTTCTGGTTCCCCTGAACCTTTTTCAGAAAGTTTCTTTTGTATTCTGAGTCTTTCCTTAGATGCCCTCCGCAGTTTCCAGAATGAAAAGAGACGCAGTTGGTGGTGGGTGAGAGGCAAGGTTAGCGCTCACTGTCCGCTCCTGTCTTTGACAAACTTATCAGCATTGCTAACCATTCTCTAATGGAGGTTCCTAGCGTTCCAGCTAGGTTTTTAAAATGCTAAGGCTTGGTCCTTTTAGACTCGATGCAAACATATCCCTCACTTAGCTGTCCGCTGTATTTGTGTTGAGTGTCTGTATCTTTGTTTCTGGCCTAAATACACTTAGAATAGTCAACAGCCGAACTGTGATGTTCACAGCTCAACCAGAGGCAAAGAACAAGTTCCCACTAAATTCTAGGATGATCTTTTGGAGCCGGTGAGATTGGATCGCAGGAACTAACACATCGGAGAACTTTCCAATGTTGTTTTTGTAGTGAAATCACACCAAGGGTAAAGCCCAGGAGCCAATCATAGCCTGGTCTCCTCCTCTAGCCCCTAGCACATGAGGTCAATGACGACTCATCTTTATCACCAGCTAAGACAAACGTAAGGCCCCAGCTTTACGGTCCTTGGAGGCATACCTCCAACCAGAAAGGAAGGCTGGCCATGGAAATGGATTCAAGTCATTTCCACAGCACTACTACTCATTGATTACTTTGAAGGCAAAAGTTATGATTAAAATTCTAGAAATGTCTACCCATCAATTTCAATTATTATAGTGCTGTCCAATAGAAATTAAGGGGCAAACCACTTTAAAATTTAGAAATTTCTAGAAGGAGCCAGGTACAGTGGCATGTACTTTTAACTCCAGTACTCAGCAGGCTAAAGCAGGAGAATGTAGAGTTCAAGGCCAGCCTACACCACAGGAGACACTGTCTCAAAACATAAATAAGCAAGCAAACAAATAGAAACAGGTAAGATTCTTTTTTTTTTTTTTTTTTTTTTTTTTGAAACAGGGTCTCACTGTATTCCCGACTGGCTTAGAACTCCATATGTAGACCAGGTTGTCCTAGAACTCACTGAGATCCTCCTGGCTCTGCCCCATGAGTACTGGGACTAAAGAGATTACCTTCAATGAATCATTTTAAACTTTAAATTTTGAGATTGTTTTTCTTATTAAGTCTTCCAAATCCAGTGTCTTAAACTACATCTAGTTGTTACACATCCCAAGGCAGGGGCTCAGCAGCCAATGGCTGTGGTCCAGACTGGTGTGGCCCCAGATTTCCACCTCTGGAGGTGCCTGTCAATCATAGAACTGCTGGTTCACAACCACCCAGGGCTACTCAGTGAGTTCAAGGCCAGTCTGGTCAAATTAGTGAGACCCTTCTTGAAATAAAAAGTTAACACAGCTAGCTAGGATTATAGCTCAGTGTTAGAGAACTTGCCCAGTGTGTTCAAGACCCTGGATTCAATTTCCATTATGTATAAATAAATTAATGAATTAGTCTTTAGAGACTGTAGCCAGATTCAAAGGTGGTACAGATCCCATTTATATCATCAAGTTAAAAAATAGTCATATATTAATTAGAAGTCCTGACCCCCCCTTGGAAAGCAGATTACTGGGAGAGGGTAATGACTTCTAGGTCTAGAAATAGTCTGATTTTTTTTTTTAAACTTGATTTTAATTGCATGCATCTAAGGACTTGTAATTTATGCATTTTTCTAGATATGTAATTTGGGTTTTTTTGTTTGTTTGTTTTGTTTTTGTTTGTATGTGTATATGTGTGTACGTATGTGGTGTGTGTGTGTGTGTGTGTATGTCTGAGACAGGGTTTCTCTGTGTAGCCCTAGCTGCCCTGGAACTTGCTCTGTAGACCAGGCTGGCCTCAAACTCAGATATCCACCTGCCTCTGCCTCCTGAGTGCTGGGACTGAAGGCATGAGCTGCCACTACCACTACCACCACTTGGTTATGTCATTTCAATGGAAAATTCAGTTTAGGCTGGGCAGTGGTGGTGCACGCCTTTAATCCCAGCATTCAGGTGGCAGAGGCAGGCGGATCTCTATGAGGTCAAGGCCAGCCTGGTCTACAGAGCGAGTTCCAGGACAGGCTCCAAAGCTACATAGAGAAACCCTGTCTCTAAAACCAAAAAAAAAAAAAAAAGAAAGAAAGAAAAAAGAAAAGAAAAAGAAAGAAAAAAGAAAAGTTTAGAAAAAAAATTTTTTTTTAGAGGGAAGGTATAGCCAGGCTTGGTGGCAAATGACTTTAATCCCAACACTCCAGAGGTAGAGGCAGGTGGATCTCTGAGTTCGAGTCCAGTCTTGTCTATAGAGTGACTTCCAGGACAGCCAGAGATACACAGAGAAACCCTGTCCCACCACACCCCCCCCCACACACACACACGAAAAGAAACCCCCAAAAGAAAAGTATCTTTTGTAGACCACCTCACTTTGTAAAGAGGGGGCCACTCTTGCCAGGCCAGGGAGGCAGCTCATGTCACCATACTTCACTTGGTGAAGTATGGCTTAACCAAGAAAAAAGATAAGCATAAGAATTAGGAAAGAAAATGGAATAGACAGGACCTAAGAAGGTCCCTGGGTGAGACTGAAGAGCTGAAATCTGTCTAGTGGGAGAACCCTAAATTCTGAAAGAATTTGAGGGACAGGGGGCTATGTACACAGTGTGAGAAGCTATTGGGAAGGTGGGTTGTGGGTCAGGACAGTACTTATACTTTAAGATGGGTTGTGTTTGCCTGGCAGTGGTGGTGCCCACTTTTAGTCCCAGCACTTGGGAGGCAGAGGCAGGCGGATCTCTTTGAATTTTAGCCTGGTCTATAGAGTAAGTTCCAGTACAGCCAGGGATACACACAGAGAAACCCTGTTGGGGCAGGGGCAGGGGGTGGGGTGGGTGTGTGTGTGTGTGTGTGTGCGCGCACGGCAGATGGGTCATGTTTAAATGGGATGAGATGGGATGGCATTGATGGAAATTTGATGACAAGCCCCACATAGCGAGAGGCCTCACGTGAAATGGAGGTGTCTGTATCTACTCTACCTGGAGTTGCAGAATTTTGAGCAGAGAAGTGGCATCCTGACAATTTTCCTCCAGGACTTACTGGGCCAAAGGTATAAACTGGGCCGCAAGTGGAGAAGCCTAGGGGCCCGATGTGCCTAAGATAAAACTAATGAAGCTTGTGACCAATCAGCAGGTTTTGGACTGAGGCAAAAGGTCATCCCCCAGACTCTCTGAAACACACAAGAGGAGGTCTCCGATCCAGACTGCCTGAGTTGGAAAATGGTAGTTCAGTGGTGGAGTGCTTGTTTAGCATGCTCAAGGCCTTAGATTCTATCCCTTGCATTTAAAAAGAGAGAGGAGGAAGAAGAAAAGTTGGGAAGCCAAGGAAGAGGCCCCGAGGAAGCTCAGGGCAGCTGTTGTGCCGCCTCAGGAGGATCGGGAGCCCTGAGTCAGGCTTACTTTAGGAGGTTAGCCAGGCACAGCGGTGCACATCTGTGATCCCTGCACTTGGGAAGCACAGGAAAGAGGACAGAGAGTTCAAGGGCAGGCCACGTGACCAGGCCTCATCTTAAAAAACCGAAACCAAAACCAATGACGGCAAGAGTCCAGTAAGAGGCACAGAAGGTTTGAAGCTGGTCCTAAGCATCCCATTCTGCAGCCAGACTACGGGGGCTGCGTTACCGTGGCGAATTCCTGCGATAGCCTCCCTCGAACCTGTATATCACGTCCATCTTACAGGAGCAAAATCAGGCCATGAGAGGTGGCCTGCATGTCCCGGGTGACAAGGCTGGCAGGTGGCAGAGTCAGGGGGTGAACTCAGTTGGGATAGCCCCAAATGCCTCATCCTGTGTCCATCCTGCTCCACACTGCAAACTTGTTTCTTGGGTCGGGGGTGGGGGTGGGGGGATGGGGGTAGGGGTGGGAGTGGGGGTGGGGGTGGGGGTGGACAGACCAGAAGTGAGCGAGTCACGTGTGCAGCCTCACCTGTATGTGTGCGTACATGCCTCTTTAGGTCGAAGGTGTCATTGAAGCCCTTGCCGCAGAAGGTGCACAGGTGCCTCTTTACCTGGTTGTGGCACTTGAGGTGACGGTTGAGCATGCGCTGCAGGCGGAAGCTCTTGCCACACAGTTCGCAGTTGTGAATCACGGAGTCATTGCACGTGCCTGTGGTAAACTGGGAGCAGAGAGAGTGTGTGAGATCACAGGGGCTCCCTTGGGAACCCGGCCATGAGCTCTCTCAAGGCTGAGCCTGACTATGGCTTCTGTTCCCTCTAAGCTTTGGGAAAGGTGTGAAGACACTGGTACTGGGAAATGTTTTTGCACAGCATCCTTCCTTTCTCCCTCCGCAGACCTCTGACTCCTATCTCTGCGCTGTCTTACAGCAGCTTTTTTTGTTGTTGTTTTTAAAGCAACAAAAGTCCTGGATGTCCTGAAACTCTCTCTGTAGACCAGGCTGGCCTCACACTCACAGAGATCCGACTGCCTCTGCCTCCTGAGTGCTGGAATTAAAGGCATTTTACAGCAGCCTTTTAACAAGGCACGGGCATCTGATCACCTGACTGATGAAAAAGACATCCCCTTAAGGGAGAAGAGAGGATCCCAGGAGCTAGAGCCCCAGCGGCCACATGGACCATGAGGAAGAAGCAAATGCTGAGGACGGAGGAACAGAAGGAAGGGGTCTGGGTCTTGCTGTCAATGGTTTCCAAAGACAGCACAGTCAACTCTTTTTTTCTGTGCCCCTGAGTACTGTTCCAGACACCAAGAAGTAGAAACGGGGTTGGAGAGATAGTTCAGTGAATAAAGGCACTTGCTGCTAACCTTGATGGCAAAGATTGATGACCCGAATTCAATCCCTGGGACCAACATGGCCGAAGTAGAGAACCAACTCCCAAAAGCTGTCACACACTGTAGCATACCCACGCACAATAAATAAACGTAATCCAAAATTTTAAAAAGGGGTAGGGGAAAGATGGAGATGATTTCTCTTCCCCTGAACCTGGGCAGGGCTCATGACTAACGGAGAGCAGAAATAATGTGTTAATTCTGGGATGCAGGACACCTGGAAGCTTCATTGCCTCCTTCTCATAAGCCAGCCTCCATGTCTGAAGCCAAGGAAGCCCAAACTAGCCATGTGGAGAGCCAGAACCCCATGCAGGGGCACCATGGTGCTAGCTCTGCCTAGATGGATCTTCCAACCTAACCTGGGGTCACCACCACCTAGCCGACTGGCCCCGGACAATGCCTTTCAGGTGAAAACTGCCTAGCTGGGCCACGCCCCAGGTCCAGACACCCAAACTGTGCACAAATAAAACCATCACTTGGGAAAATGACTCAGCCAGGATTCCAGAGCTTTATCATCAGTGAGACCATGACAGAATTCCAGCTTCTGGACTGTCCCCATCCCCAGTGCAGGATTCTCTCAGTGGTATTTGCTGTCTCCCTGGACAAACACTGGATTGACCCTCTGTGGGATGTGAAGCACCACACCTGATGTGCTCAAAGATCAGTTGTGCCACCAGGTCAGGCCCTGTAGACGGTCCATTTGCTCTGCCAGAACTGTCTATAAGAAGCCCAAGGACTGGAGCATCAGGGCACTCACCTGCATGTGCAAGTCCTGTGGGTATCCCTAGTACTACCAAAAATAAATAAATAGCTGTGTGGTGGGGTGATATACCTTTAATCCCAGCACTTGGGAGGCAGAGGCAGGCAGATCTCTGAGTTCGAGGCCAGCCTGGTCTACAGAGTGAATTCTGGGATAGCCAGGGCTACACAGAGACACCCTGCCTCAACTAACTAACTAACAACTAACTAAATGGATGAATGAATAAATGGGGGGGGGGTAGCGGAGTGGAAGGCAGGAAGAGGAAAAAGAAATGAGGCTAGACACTAATCCTTGGCGTTCAGTCATCCTTAGCACACAGAGATTGGTAACAGGATCCTCTGCAGATACTAAATGCTTCGGGTGCTCAGGCCCCTGATCTGAAACACTGTGGCTTTGGACCCAGTATGCATATCATCCCATAGACAGCTGCATGACCTAAACAGATGTCTATAGAACCTTGTACCGATGTAAACTCTACGTGACTAGTGTTAGGCTGTACTATTTAAGGAATAAGGACAAGAGAGAAGAAAAAGATCTGTACATGTTTAGCATAGACACTATATTCTTTTCAAATGGTTGAATCCACGGGCTGTGGAAGTCATGGGTATAGAGGGCTGCCTGTATGTACTTCACTGCCCTTTATTCCAGAGAGCATATTGCATTTATGCTTCTGAAGAGTTCGTGTGGGCTCCTCCATTCAAGGCCTTGAGGACAGTCAGCACATGTCCACACACACACCGCTGCCTCCCATTCCTCCATGCCCGAGGGCAGCTCAGAGTGTGCCGGGCAGCCGGGAGCAAGTAGAAGGATGCCAAGGAGGCTGTAGGATCCCAGGAGAGGGTTTCCTAGGCAGCTTCCTCTCCTATTCATTCTCACTGGTTCAGAGCTTAATTTGTCTGACTTAGCACTGAGTGACTGATGGGCTCTATGGTCAAGGCACCACCAACACCAAAGTGGCTTTTCCCCAAAAAGACGCCATAGTGGCTGGGATGTGAAACATCAAGGGAGAGGACTGCAGAGACACCAAGTCCCGCTGTCAAGCAGAAATTAGAGGGGATAAGAAAATGGTGTGTGTGTGTGGGGGGGTGGTTGGGGATTTAGTTCAGTGGTAAAGTGCTTGCCTAGTAAGCACAAGGCCCTGGGTTTGGTCCTCAGCTCCAGAGGAAAAGAAAAAAGAGAAAAAAAAAAAAGAAAGAAAGAAAAAGAAAATGGTGGGAAATAACAATCTGTGTCTGGTTCAGTGTGAGCTGCCAGGCCTGGGAAAGCAGTTACTAGACTGTGGAAAAGGGCAGTGTCTACCTTGGGGACCCAATGGGTGGGACCTATTCCAAAGGCAAGAGAGAGCTCTGGAAAACAAAGGAGGAAAGACTAAATGAGGCCCACTGAGAACTCTAGGCTTCTAAATGACAAGTCTACAGAGGGCAAACGTCACCTGACTGCGTAAGGAACTCTCAATCAAGACAGAGACAACTGAAGTGTGGTAGTACACTCCTTTATTCTCAACTCTCGGGAGGCAGAGGCAGGTAGATCTCTGAGTTTGAGGCCAGCCTAGTCTACAGAGTGAGTTCCAGGAGTCTCAAAAAAATGTAAAAATAAAAACAAAAAAAGAGAGGGCTGGAGAGATGCCTCAGGGATGTTAAGAGCACCTGTCGCTCTTCCAGAGAAAGGTCCCACACCCACGTGAGAGCTTACTGTGTGTAACACCAGTTCTAAGGGATCTAATACCTTCTTCTGACCTCCTTGAGCACCAGGCACACACATGATATATGTACATACATGCAGCAAAACATTCATACACATAAAACAAATAAATCCTAATTTTTTTTAAAAGAGAGACAATTGGCTAAGGATCACTGCCAATAACTAGTTCCTGCCGTATTATATCACTCCTCATAAGGGAAGGGGTATTTGGTTTGTGGGGGTATTTCATGTGTGGTGCTTTAAAAATTCATTCTAAGCCAGGCAGTGGTGGCACAGGCCTTTAATCCCAGCACTCGAGAGGCAGCAGAGGCAGGCGGATCTCTGTGAGTTCAAGGCCAGCCTGGTCTACAGAGAAAGAAGCCAGGACTGCTTCACAGAGAAACCCTGTCTTGAAAAACCAAAATAAAACACAATAAATACAAATTTGGTCTATAATAGCAAGAGACTGGACACTAGCTGACTGTCTATTAGCACAGGCTTCAAAGGAAAGGATGGGAGCACCAAGCGGTCCAGCGGGGACATCTGGCTGCAACCTCCAGAGAAAGCCGGCAAGGACTATCCAGCCATTCCACAGACATAGGAAATATGATACACATTATTTTAGCTACTAAATTTGGGGTTACTTGCACAGAAGAAATGGATTAACCAAAACAGTAACCGTGGGCTGGAGAGATGGCCCAGCAGTTAAGAACACATACTGCTTTTGCAGAAGGCCTGAGTTCAGTTCCCAGCACCCATGCATGACAGGTGACTCCAGCTCCAGGGCATCTGACCCTGTCTTCTGGCCTGAGGGCACCTGCACTCATGTGCACACCACCCTCATCTGCACATGATTGAAAATAAATTGACTGGAGAGATGGCTTGGTGGTTAAGAGCATTGGTTGCATAAGACGACTTGGGTTCAATTTCCAGCACTCATATAGTAGCTCACAACCGTGTGTAACTCCAGTTCCAGGGGACCCAAGACCCTCTGCTGGTCTATATGAGTACCAGGCACTTACATGGCACACAGAGAGCCGTGCAGCATAAATTCCTCTACGCATAAAATAAATACATTTTTAAAAACAAATAAATCAAAATAAAATCCTAAAAATCAGTAACAAACAGATTTTTTTTTCCCCCAGAATATATCAGCTTTGTCGTACTGCTTGCATTATTCTCCTTGTTAATTTTGGAACTGGAGATGGAACCCAGAGCTTTTGTACATTAAGAACTCAGTCTTATCACACAGCTGCATCCCCAGCCCCAAGGTGCCATTTCTCAGTCCCCTCTCCCAGGATTCCTGGACCAGTTCTCCCTCCCCAGGTCCTGTGTCTGCTGTCTGGGCCATCTTCATTATGCTCACACGGGTATACAACTAACATCCTCTCTCCTCAGTGTTCAAAGCAGAGATATCCAGTCTGATTTCTTTACTCGGTTCTACAAGTAATAAGTTACATCATAAACCAAAACTTAGACCAAAATTACATCTTACCCATGTTAATTATACAATGGCTGTGGCAGAGTGGAGAGCTAGCTCTCACTAAGCTAAGTGCTGACAAGCATGAAGACTTACTTAGATGCTCAGAACACCTAAAAAGACAGATGGAGTGGTGTATCGTTGAATCCCTGAGCTGAGGAGACATAGAGAAGGATTCCTTGGGTAGGCAGTCTAGTGGTGACCTCCAGAACAGGGAGAGACCCTATATATCAGAGAAGGTAGACGGTGTCTCTGAAGATGACACCTGGGGTTTCCTCTGACCTCCACAGGCTGTACCCACACTTACATGAACACACTTGTACCACCCCACATACACCCAATAAACAATCATAGTAGATAGAGGCAAGAAATGCCAAGAAATTGAATAAATATTTAGCTCTGATCATCTGTA